TTTTCCGTCAACATCATTCATGTGTGCTAAATTGGGATACAGACCATCATATACATGACAGAGTATTTTAATGGCAAGGAAAGTAATTGAAGTTGGCTCGAGATGGAGGATTGTTGATGTTTCCAAATATGGTGAGATAGGTGGATCCCAACTCCAACTAGCTTTCAAGTGGTGAGTCCTAGGCGGATTTTGGAGGAGGAGGCCATAGTTAGTGAGCTTATTAACCCACATACGCGATCTTGGAAATTACATTTGATCGAGGAAGTTTTTATGGAACATGAAGTTGAGGTAATTAAACGAATATTGTTGGGCGTTTTTCCTATTGATGATAAGTTGATATGGCATCATACTAGTAATGAGAGGTTTCTGTTCGAAGTGCATATCACCTTGCCTATGATAGTAATTTATTTTCTTTGGGAACATCCACAGCAAGCTCGTCTTTGAGCTTTGGTTGTAATTGGAGGCTATATGGAAACAGGAAGTCCCAAGTAAAGTTAGAATCTTCGTAAGACGGATGGTACTAAATGCTCTTCCCACAAATGAGAAGTTATGGCATAGGAAAATTTGTGTTGATTGTGCGAGGAGAGGACATAATCTATTTTACACGTTTTTAAGGACTGTCCTTGGGCTAAGACGTCTTGGGAAGGCAGTTGTCCCGGGAATCAAATTTTCACTCGAAGTTTACCTTGTGATGGCCTTGAGTTCCAATCTTCAGTCTAAGCCAATGCACTCATAAGCTCACAGAAAAGCACACACGAATAGAATAATGGGCAAACACTGAAACTCACAGTAGACACTCAAGCTTTACAGGCCCAATGGTTAAAACATTTTACTTCTCAGCAAGCCCAAAAGAAATCGGCTAGGGGTCTGTTTACAAAATCTGTCCAAATTTTCTTAGTCGCACTGCAAACCCGAACATGTCTATAAATAGCACACAATGTGGAGGTTACAAGCCCAACTGTCTAGGCAATGCAAAACAAAAATCAGATTCGCCCACAAAACTTCCCACAACCTGCTGATCATGGATAAATCCCTTTGCCACTCCCACAATCTGCTGATTGGGACAGTTGCAATTGTTGGCTGACCCAACCAGCAACTGTCTATAACTTTTGTGTATGTTATGTACACATGCCAACAATCTCTCTCATAGTGTGCACATGCCAGTAATTGCACAGAACTATCCTACATGCCATGCACGTGCTAGTAACTGTTCGGAACTGCCACCACTTGCAATGTACATGTCTTAACTGTTCGAAATCACCTCACATGTGGTGCACATGCCTTCCTTGTGAGCTCACAAAACCTGATTAGGCTTGCCTTCGTGCCTAGCCATGGGCTGGGCATGGATTGGTCTTCCATGCTAGCAATGCCCCTAGGGGCAGAGCCACCCTTGGGCCAGGGTGGGCACATGCCCCCCCACCCCCTTAGTTTTTTTTGTTTCATATTAAGTATATATTTTTTGAAATGATATATTTAATTGTACCCACCCTCATATTGTGTTTTGGTGATATTGATTTGAATAGATCCCTACCTAAATGATTGTTAACTTTTTGAGTAATGTTATTGAAACCTAATTTAAAGACTTAATACATTCCGATATTAAGTATAATAATGAATCTTAATATTTAATAAACTCTATTATCTAACAAATAGTCGCAAACTATTGGGTGTCCATCAATTAAATCTCAAATTAGGTACAACTAATATAATTGTTAACTTTTAGACATGTCCGAATTTGTTTTGAACATATTGATGTTAATTTATAATTTTTTTAAATTGTAGGGTTATTTTGTTATTGTATAAAAATGTGTGTCGCTATGTAGTAAATTATAGGATCATAAATGGAATATTGTTACCCCGATTTTATACATAAAAGAAATATTGTTGATAAAATTAATTTGTAACTCTTTCAAATAATAAAAACATATCAGGGTCAATTNGAGGGGGCGAGGAAGATACATTGGGTTAAGCGGTCTGAGATGTGCAAAGGCAAAAAAAATGGTGGGATGGGATTTAGGGATTTGAGGACTTTTAATATGGCAATGCTGACTAAACAAGCTTGGAGAATTCCTCATGACACGAATATTCTTTTCACAAGGTCTAGAAAGGGAGATATTTTCCGTCAACATCATTCATGTGTGCTAAATTGGGATACAGACCATCATATACATGACAGAGTATTTTAATGGCAAGGAAAGTAATTGAAGTTGGCTCGAGAAGGAGGATTGTTGATGTTTCCAAATATGGTGAGATAGGTGGATCCCAACTCCAACTAGCTTTCAAGTGGTGAGTCCTAGGCGGATTTTGGAGGAGGAGGCCATAGTTAGTGAGCTTATTAACCCACATACGCAATCTTGGAAATTACATTTGATCGAGGAAGTTTTTATGGAACATGAAGTTGAGGTAATTAAACGAATATTGTTGGGCGTTTTTCCTATTGATGATAAGTTGATATGGCATCATACTAATAATGAGAGGTTTCTGTTCGAAGTGCATATCACCTTGCCTATGATAGTAATTTATTTTCTTTGGGAACATCCACAGCAAGCTTGTCTTTGAGCTTTGGTTGTAATTGGAGGCTATATGGAAACAGGAAGTCCCAAGTAAAGTTAAAATCTTCGTAAGGCGGATGGTACTAAATGCTCTTCCCACAAATGAGAAGTTATGGCACAGGAAAATTTGTGTTGCGTGTGCGAGGAGAGGACATAATCTATTTTACACGTTTTTAAGGACTGTCCTTGGGCTAAGACGTCTTGGGAAGGCAGTTGTCCCGGGAATCAAATTTTCACTCGAAGTTTACCTTGTGATGGCCTTGAGTTCCAATCTTCAGTCTTAGCCAATGCACTCGTAAGCTCACAGAAAAGCACACACGAATAGAATAATGGGCAAACACTGAAACTCACAGTAGACACTCAAGCTTTACGGGCCCAATGGTTAAAACATTTTACTTCTCAGCAAGCCCAAAGGAAATCGGCTAGGGGTTTGTTTACAAAATCTGTCCAAATTTTCTTAGTTGCACTGCAAACCCTAACATGTCTATAAATAGCACACAATGTGGAGGTTACAAGCCCAACTGTCTAGGCAATGCAAAACAAAAATCAGATTCGCCCACAAAACTTTCCCCAACCTGCTGATCATGGATAAGTGCCTTTGCCACTCCCACAATCTGCTGATAGGGACAGTTGCAATTGTTGGCTGACCCAACCAACAACTGTCTATAACTATTGTGAATGTTATGTACACATGCCAACAATCTCTCTCATAGTGTGCACATGCCAGTAATTGCACAGAACTACCCTACATGCCATGCACATGCTAGTAACTGTTCGGAACTGCCACCACTTGCAATGTACATGTCTTAACTGTTCGAAATCACCTCACATGTTGTGCACATGCCTTCCTTGTGAGCTCACAACACCTGATTAGGCTTGCCTTCGTGCCTAGCCATGGGCTGGGCATGGATTGGTCTTCCATGCTAACAATGCCCCTAGGGGCAGAGCCACCCTTGGGCCAGGGTGGGCACATGCCCCCCCACCCCCTTAGTTTTTTTTGTTTCATATTAAGTATATATTTTTTGAAATGATATATTTAATTGTACCCACCCTCATATTGTGTTTTGGTGATATTGATTTGAATAGATCCCTACCTAAATGATTGTTAACTTTTTGAGTAATGTTATTGAAACCTAATTTAAAGACTTAATACATTCCGATATTAAGGATAATAGTGAATCTTAATATTTAATAAACTCTATTATCTATGAAATAGTCGCAAACCATTGGGTGTCCATCAATTAAATCTCAAATTAGGTACAACTAATATAATTGTTAACTTTTAGACATGTCCGAATTTGTTTTGAACATATTGATGTTNTAGCCAATGCACTCGTAAGCTCACAGAAAAGCACACACGAATAGAATAATGGGCAAACACTGAAACTCACAGTAGACACTCAAGCTTTACGGGCCCAATGGTTAAAACATTTTACTTCTTAGCAAGCCCAAAGGAAATCGGCTAGGGGTTTGTTTACAAAATCTGTCCAAATTTTCTTAGTTGCACTGCAAACCCTAACATGTCTATAAATAGCACACAATGTGGAGGTTACAAGCCCAACTGTCTAGGCAATGCAAAACAAAAATCANGCATTCTCGATAAAAAGTTTTAATTATTATTTTTTTTTATGAGTATATCCATTTTTAATCTTCTATGTTTAAAAAGTATTAAATAAAATTTTAATAAATATAAATTTATGAACTTTTTACGGTCTATTAAAAAGATAATTAAAACATGCTAGTGTGCCCACCCTAAAAAAAATTTGAATATCAAATCCTTACAATTAAGGGATTTGATATTCTCTAGAATTCTTCAGAATGCAACCACTGTAATGTAGCAATAAGTTTCCTACAATTTTTTTATATTGATTTATTCTTTCCTTGAATACCGGTTTCTAGAATGATCTATTCATTCTATATATTCTATGTACATATCAATTGATAAATATAGAACAGAAAATCCTTTTATTCTTTCATGGTATCAGAGCTCTATTTTACTTGCACCTCCTCTTGTAGTCTTTCAATTTCATTAGGCTATCTCTAGTTTCAATTGGACATCTCCATCTGTGCACTGTTGCACCAAGTAGCCACTAGGAAGTCTTTTACCACCAAACAATCAACGTTTCAAACAATCAAGAAGCTTGAAACTATTGTCAATCACTACAGAATCCCTCCTTGCCTATAAACTAGCACTATGACATCTAGCGACACATCATCATCACCTTCCCCTTTATTGAGTTCATCCCTTGTGTGCCTTTCCTTGGGAAGTATAATTAATTATATTTCCATTAAATTAGATGAAACCAACTACCTCGTGTGGCGCAGTCAATTCATCTCCGTATTGGTGGCTAATGATCTCTATGGTTATGTGGATGGAACCATTATTCCTCCACTAGTTATCCTTGAATCTACAGAAAGAACTAAAGTTTCTAATCCAGAATTTATATCATGGTGTAAGATGGATCATTTTGTTCTAAGCTGCATCTATACAACCCTCACCCAAGGCATTCTAGCCCAAGTCGTTGGGCTCTCTACTGCATTCCAGGTTTGGAATAGCCTGCATTCCATGTTTCAAGAACAGAGCCAAGCACGTTTCAATCTACTCCAAAATGAGATTCAATCACTCGAATAGGTACGGGGTCAATTTCAAATTACCTAAATCGGATCAAGCATCTCGCAGACTCGTTGGCTGCCATAGACCATTCAATGGCCTTGGCAAGGAATATGACTCCTTCATCGTGATGATGGAAAACCGGCAGCCATCACCCACCTTTGTTGAACTCAGGTCACGCCTATTCAATCATGAACAACACTTGAAGTGCTCATCTCGCTCTATGCAAACTACTCCTTCCATGGGTGATACAACTCTTGTTACTACCTATACAGCACATTGGCATCAAAATTCCCCGAGGTCGTGGACGTGATGAATATCGAGGGCGTGGTGAATCTTTAGCTAGTCATGGACAAGGGTATGTTCAGTTTTCTAATTCTCAATTTCATAACCGTGGCCGTGGTTAAAATTTTTAGGGCAATCGATATATGGGCAAATGTCAAATCTGTCGTAAACAAGGGCATAATGCTTTTAAATGTCGTTTTTCGATTTGATCAAGCTTATACTTCAAGACTAGGGATGTCAATGGACCAAAGCGGGGGCGGGGGGTATAGTCTTCATCCCCGTACCCGCTTAAAAAATCTTCGTCCATCCCCGCTAACGGGGATAATTTTCATCTCCATTCCTGTCCGTGGGTAAATTTATAATCCCTGTCCCCGTCCCCACTTTTCCCATACCCGCCCAAGCCTAAACCTAAGCTCAAGTTCAAGTCAATATAATCCAAAATTCTAAATAAATTCAATAATTTAAATAATCTAACAACATTCTAAATAATCTAACACAACATAATGTAGCATTACATATTCGAACATAACAAAAATCACAAATGTCCAAAATACTACTTAAATTTGATATAATTTAACATTACACAACATAACACAAATAACATAACGAGTGGTAGAATCATCTTAATCAACTCAACATCTCTTAACACCAACTTCACACCAACTCAATCATCACTTAACACCATCGNAATACAACCCTCACCCAAGGCATTCTAGCCCAAGTCGTTGGGCTCTCTACTGCATTCCAGGTTTGGAATAGCCTCCATTCCATGTTTCAAGAACAGAGCCAAGCACGTTTCAATCTACTCCAAAATGAGATTCAATCACTCGAATAGGTATGGGGTCAATTTCAAATTACCTAAATCGGATCAAGCATCTCGCAGACTCGTTGGCTGCCATAGACCATTCAATGGCCTTGGCAAGGAATATGACTCCTTCATCGTGATGATGGAAAACCGGCAGCCATCACCCACCTTTGTTGAACTCAGGTCACGCCTATTCAATCATGAACAACACTTGAAGTGCTTATCTCGCTCTATGCAAACTACTCCTTCCATGGGTGATACAACTCTTGTTACTACCTATACAGCACATTGACATCAAAATTCCCAAGGTCGTGGACGTGATGAATATCGAGGGCGTGGTGAATCTTTAGCTAGTCATGGACAAGGGTATGTTCAGTTTTCTAATTCTCAATTTCATAACCGTGGCCGTGGTTAAAATTTTTAGGGCAATCGATATATGGGCAAATGTCAAATCTGTCGTAAACAAGGGCATAATGCTTTTAAATGTCGTTTTTCGATTTGATCAAGCTTATACTTCAAGACTAGGGATGTCAATGGACCAAAGCGGGGGCGGGGGGTATAGTCTTCATCCCCGTACCCGCTTAAAAAATCTTCGTCCATCCCCGCTAACGGGGATAATTTTCATCTCCATTCCTGTCCGTGGGTAAATTTATAATCCCTGTCCCCGTCCCCACTTTTCCCATACCCGCCCAAGCCTAAACCTAAGCTCAAGTTCAAGTCAATATAATCCAAAATTCTAAATAAATTCAATAATTTAAATAATCTAACAACATTCTAAATAATCTAACACAACATAATGTAGCATTACATATTCGAACATAACAAAAATCACAAATGTCCAAAATACTACTTAAATTTGATATAATTTAACATTACACAACATAACACAAATAACATAACGAGTGGTAGAATCATCTTAATCAACTCAACATCTTTTAACACCAACTTCACACCAACTCAATCATCACTTAACACCATCGGTGGTGGTAGAATTTACCTCTTCAACATCATTTTCCTATATCATTAAAAGAAAAAAAAAATTAGATTCTTTCAAAGAGAAATTTTCAACAAAAACGATATACCTCATCATTAATATCAAGATCCTCCAATAATGTGTAGCTCTTCAGGCCCGTCGAAGTAGATGAACCTAACAAAAAAAACAAATAATGTATTAGTCATACTTTACCCACCCCAAAAAAAAATTATGATGCACATACAAATAATATTTAATTACCTCGTTTTTNCATCTCGCTCTATGCAAACTACTCCTTCCATGGGTGATACAACTCTTGTTACTACCTATACAGCACATTGGCATCAAAATTCCCCGAGGTCGTGGACGTGATGAATATCGAGGGCGTGGTGAATCTTTAGCTAGTCATGGACAAGGGTATGTTCAGTTTTCTAATTCTCAATTTCATAACCGTGGCCGTGGTTAAAATTTTTAGGGCAATCGATATATGGGCAAATGTCAAATCTGTCGTAAACAAGGGCATAATGCTTTTAAATGTCGTTTTTCGATTTGATCAAGCTTATACTTCAAGACTAGGGATGTCAATGGACCAAAGCGGGGGCGGGGGGTATAGTCTTCATCCCCGTACCCGCTTAAAAAATCTTCGTCCATCCCCGCTAACGGGGATAATTTTCATCTCCATTCCTGTCCGTGGGTAAATTTATAATCCCTGTCCCCGTCCCCACTTTTCCCATACCCGCCCAAGCCTAAACCTAAGCTCAAGTTCAAGTCAATATAATCCAAAATTCTAAATAAATTCAATAATTTAAATAATCTAACAACATTCTAAATAATCTAACACAACATAATGTAGCATTACATATTCGAACATAACAAAAATCACAAATGTCCAAAATACTACTTAAATTTGATATAATTTAACATTACACAACATAACACAAATAACATAACGAGTGGTAGAATCATCTTAATCAACTCAACATCTTTTAACACCAACTTCACACCAACTCAATCATCACTTAACACCATCGGTGGTGGTAGAATTTACCTCTTCAACATCATTTTCCTATATCATTAAAAGAAAAAAAAATTAGATTCTTCCAAAGAGAAATTTTCAACAAAAACGATATACCTCATCATCAATATCAAAATCCTCCAATAATGTGTAGCTCTTCAGGCCCGTCGAAGTAGATGAACCTAACAAAAAAAACAAATAATGTATTAGTCATACTTTATCCACCCCAAAAAAAAATTATGATGCACATACAAATAATATTTAATTACCTCGTTTTTCCGCACATAACCAAAACCTCATTTTTCAGCACATAACCAATTTTGAGAGCACATTAAAGCCTCTACTATAGTTGAAAGAAGTCTATTGCGATATGAACTGATCACCCTCCCACTTGTGCTAAAATCAGATTCTGAGGCAACGGTAGAAACAGGAATAGCAAAAAGATTTTTAGCAATCATTTGAAGCAGAGGATATTTGGGACCACTTGTCTTCCAAAAAGATAGTATATCAAAATCTAAACTTCTTGGCATCATACCATCTTTTAAGTAACGATCCAACTCAGATCTCTCACATACTTTTGTTATGTCTCTTGTTTGTATAAACTTATCAAAATCAGAGAGATCATCAATTAATGGGCATTTAGAATTAATATCTGATTGAAGAGGGGGAGGAGAAGGATGTGGTTCATAATCATTTCTTTGTCTCGCTTCATACTCGCCTACCAATTCTAAGCAAAGCTCCTTAATTCTCTTCACTTCACTTAAAGCTTCCACACCTCCATACATTTTCTCATAGTAATACTCCAAAATTCTCAACTTATACCGTGGATCTAAAACAGTGGCTATTCTCATAACACCATGAATCACTCTCCATTATTTGTTAAACTTTTCCAACATATTCAAGGCCATATCTTTTATCATGTTTTTGGGACTTTAAAGTCACTTAGATATTTCTACTCTTATCCCACAAATAGTTGGAAAGTATACATTGGCAGTAGGATACTTTGTATCTGAAAATAATTTTGCTGTAGTATGAAACAATTTCAATTTTTAACACATCTCTCTTGCCCACCTCCCAATCATCTTCAGTCGGACAAATCTTGTAATGAGAATCTCGATATTTCAAACGAGCAAACACATCTCTATAAATCTAACTAGTTTGAAGCATGAGAAAAGTAGAGTTCCATCTAGTCTTAACATCAAAAGCAAGCTTCTTGTTACTTGGAATATGTATCTGATGATCTGCCTCTTCAAATTTTTGCACTCTCTTGGGAGATGTTGTTCAATAAGCAACATTATCACTAATTCTTTCAATACCATCTCCAATCACATTCAAACCATCTTGAACAATTAAGTTGAGAATATGTGCACAACAACGCATATGGAACAACTGACCATGCAATATTAGTGAACTAAATGGAAGTTTATCCAACAAAATAGTCACAATTGCATCATTAGTCGTATAATTATCCACAGTCAAAGTGATCAACTTTCTATCAAGGTTCCAATCGAAAAAGCAATCCATCAAACACTCCACAAGCACTTCCTTGGTATGTGGATAAGGCACATATAAAAATCTAAAGATAATANTACTAATTCTTTCAATACCATCTCCAATCACATTCAAATCATCTTGAACAATTAAGTTGAGAATATGTGCACAACAACGCATATGAAACAACCGACCATGCAATATTAGTGAACTAAATGAAAGTTTATCCAACAAAATAGTCACAATTGCATCATTAGTCGTATAATTATCCACAATCAAAGTGATCAACTTTCTATCAAGGTTCCAATCGAAAAAGCAATCCATCAAACACTNTAAATGGAAGTTTATCCAACAAAATAGTCACAATTGCATCATTAGTCGTATAATTATCCACAGTCAAAGTGATCAACTTTCTATCAAGGTTCCAATCGAAAAAGCAATCCATCAAACACACCACAAGCACTTCCTTGGTATGTGGATAAGGCACATATAAAAATCTAAAGATAATAAATAACACATGTTAATTGAAGATCATTAGTACCTTATAATAAATAACATATGCTAATGAAAGAATTGTCAATAAAGTGTGTGGTGATTGTCATGTATCCCTTTCTTTGATTGTTTGAGGACCACATGTCCGTAGTAATAGCAACTCTACTTTTTGTCTTTTTTAACAACTTCATTGTCTTCTCATTCTCGGTTTTGTAAATTTGAAGGATATCATTTCTAAGAGTGTTTCGGGAT